CTCCTCAACATTACCCCTTCCTCCATCATTGTTGTATGTCACCGTGGTCTGTTCTCAACTCTATATCCTGTTCTTTCTATAACAAGGCCACCCAAGTTTTGTTGGAGTTCACTAACTGTAGCCATATTGCAGATTTAGTCTTGACTTGTTCTGTTTGTGTCAGTCTTTCTCTCTTGACGCTGCTCCAGGATTGTTTTAAATTCTTTTCATTGGCATTGCTGTCTTGCCCACCTCTCACAAGAGTTGGTGGCATGCTGCATCATAAATAATTGTAATGTCAAATTGTTTTTTCTAGCAGAGGTCATTCTACCATCAGCAAATCCTTCTTCCTTTTTTTCTGCTGCTGTCACATTTGGTTTTGAAACAGTTGTCACAGTCCAGACAGTTGCTTGTACTAGTTCTTGGTTTGTAGTACGAGTACCCAGTTTAAGCTTCTTGTCCAATATCATGACCATTAAGTCCTAAAGGTTTAGTTTGAATTAGAGCTGTTTGTCCTTGGCTGTCTTTGAACCGTGCCAATGACTACTGGGCCACATCCATAGATGCAGATTTAACTCATGGTTAGTGTTTCCCACACAGACTTTACTTTGCGTGCTGCCTGGCTATACATATTAAAGGCTGGCCAACTGTTTTTCAAGTCATTTTGCATTTCGTAGTTTTATTTTCATCTCTTCAAAAGAACAAGACAACCATATTACTAGTGAGCAATCCCCTTGCTCTTATTTGAAACTTTAGTCATTGCTAACGATCTATTGGTGGCCGTTTCCACCCCACCTACCAGCAGACCTCAATGTCCTGCATGTCATTAGGCTTTCTCAGAAAGTCCTTCATCCGTGGTTGTGAAAACACCAAATTATGCTCAAGTTAACACAATCTTAACTATGGAGACCAATAATGATTATGTTTACCCCACAATCAGGCCAGGAATAACTCTGGATAGCAATGAGGCTGCCATTATTTTTTTTTAATCATTTATTATTTCTGTCAAGCTGCAAAATTATTGATTTTTTCTGATCACTAATCAATATTCAGGGCTGGGGAAATACAGTAATAAAGCAAAGCAGTGCCCTGTCCATCCTTTTATTAAAAAAAAAAAAGAAAAAGACAAACAAGGACTTCAGGCGTGTCTTTCGTCAGTCTGTGATTATAACTTCCTCAGCTGCCACAGTGAGAGACCTCAGGTTGGTCATCTGGCAGATCAAGCATCATGTGATTGTGTGTGAATTGCAGTTGTGTTTAAAGTCCTCTCAGTTAACCTTTAGTGTGTTTAGACTCACAGCTTTGCCATGCCAACTGTAAACACTGAGGTGGTGTTAACAGAAGGTCTCCTTTCAGTTTTGTAAATGCTGACATTGAAGGCCTCAAAGCTTTCATACAACTTGAAAAACCAGGTGCTGAAAGTTGTTTCTAAACTGCAAATTGTGTTTCTATCTCAGTGAACTAAATCTTTTGGTAAATGAAGGCTCAACATGCCCAAGAAGAATGTCATCACCTTGATGTTTAACTTTTCAAGGCTGCTTCATGAGATCAGAATATTATTTGTGATACTTTGACAGATATTAAGATTATCACTGTAGCTGATTGTCGTAAAGTTCACAGTGAATCTTTTATATGATGTAGTTGCAGGGTAGGAAGTACCTCAATAACTTATTAGATTGCCTGGAATAATATTTTGTACAGAAATTACAAAATTACAAAATCGTGTTCCCCAGAGGATTGATCATTCTCACATTCATGATCCCCTGACCTTGTCTTTCAAGGCTATAATAATGGAAATATTCATGGTTTTGAGTGCAGTATTTTAACAGCTATTACATGGATTGCAATGCAGTTTTGTACAGGCAGTCATGTTCCCCAGAGGATTGATTCTTCTGACTTTCAGGATCTACAGACTTTGCCTTTCAGGGCATTATTGGTTTAAATTGTACAGTTTTGATTTAAACGTCCCACCAGATATTGCATTGAGTGCCATGAATTAACATGTACAGGGTTCATGTTCCCCAGAGGGTTTATCATTAGGACTTTTATGATTTCCCTCAGGACCACAGCAGGTTAATCTTTACTGTTGTGAAGCTGCAAGCTGAGCCGGGGCTTGCTGAAACTAGACGTAAAGAGCATAAAAATTCACCTTGGTGTTCTATTCAATATGACTTGAAGCAACAGATTGAGCGCATACATTTGTGTGGAAAGTGTTTGCAGAGATTATAAAGTGAGGGCAGGTTTCCCATACTTTATGGAAGCTTAGACCTGGAATCCATGTCCTTCGTTTACATGGTGAACCCTTTGAGACCTGCTAGCTATGCTATTAAACCTGTCTTCACCATGCTTCGCATTTGTCTGACTTTCTTTTTTATGTTTAAATGGCCCCTCAGGGTGAATTCTTAGCTTCAGATGCTTTTAAACACTGACAGAAATAAACTGACAAGGCCCTTCTGCATACTTTACTGCAGGAGGGCCTTGTAATTATTTTAGAGTAGTTTCAAAATTGAACACATCGACTGCTTCAACTCTAAAAACTGCCCTTTAAGATATCACTAGTTGTAGTGTTGCAGCTCATTGTTCTTTGAGATCAATCTCTGTTGATTGCCTCCAGGTTATATAAAGCTTTTTATGAGACTCTTGCCTTTGCCCTCTCTTATGTTCTGCTTTTCCAAATGAAACATAAGTGATATTGTTCTCAGCCGCGTGGCCCTCGCTATCTCTTCAAACAGAACCAGAGTGCTTTTATTCCTGGAAGCACACACACTTATATACACAGACACATGCACACACAGGTCCTCTGCACAGCAGTGTTGTATAATAAGATAAATCTGCCTTTGAATCAAACCACCTGCGTCATGGAGAATATGAGGTGTTTGTCAGGATTGCGTGCATGCTGGAGACAAAGTGGAAGAGGAAAAGGATCAGAAAAAGGTCTTCATGACTTTATATATATTTAGCATATTGGAGAGTGCAATAAAGCACATTATTTATTGCCATCCGCACTATGCAATAAAAAAACTTCTCCCATTGTTGTCCCTCAGATGTTGTAGGGGGCATAAAGTGTCCCTTAACAAAACCGGTGTTACTGAGGTTACCATTTCTCAAGCATTAATGCATCCTCTCAAATGAGGACTTTCCTCTATTCTCTATATTTAGTGCATCAGTAACTAAAATAGATGAGTCCTCTGAATTTGAAGATATGTTTTTTTTTCATTACAAAAATAATCATTAGCTGCTGCAGCTGCACAATAACTCTTTCACCCTGCTCTTTACTTGTGAGCCTGCTCATGGCTAATGATGAATCACACAACCAGCTGCCTGAAACAGACACGTTGCTGCACGGCTATCATCCAAACTCACCGAACAGGTGGTCAAGAGGATCACAAACTATCACCGCCACCACTAATTTATCATACCTCTCTGCGAAGAGACTGGCCACCTGTAGCATCACATTACAGGGTCAAAGGGCACCAGATGGAACGTGGATCTTACAATGTAAAGGTGTATTTTTTATTTTTTTTTCAAAAGCATTTCTTAACTCAGGGGATTGGTATGCGAGCGCTTCCCCCTGAACTTAAACCTGATCCCAAAGTGTACAATCAATGTAACACGATGCAAAAGCAACAGGACAATATGTCGTTATTTATACTTGTTTGTGAGAAAGTGAGCAGTGGGCTTTCGTGCCCTGTCTGCTCTGTGTTTATATGACCAGTAATGAAGCATGCGTCGGCTGGTCCCTGCTGTTACCACCGTCTCAGATAGCACCCCTCAGTCACACAAGCTCATCTGGGAGTAGTTACGCCGGCTGCGATCTCCGGGGCACCATTATCAGCAAACCACAGCACACTTTGAGGTGGTCTGGAGCCCTCTTTGATGTGCAGAAGGAGAAAGTGAGACTCAAGTAATGATAAATTGTATCAGGTCTTCAGAGAATGTGTGCTGATGTGATGAAGATGGCCTTCTCTTGCAGGTTTTGAAGGTTCTCTTGTCGACAAGGATTTATTTATTTTTTATTGTTTGCACATGTTGTGGTAAATTAACGGTTACAGTTTTGGTAAGAAGAAGCTGCTTTTGGAAAGGCGGGTAATGAATAAGGACAGGATGAGTGAGCAGTGTTGTTTCTTATATAACAGAAATAAAGGCAGCATTTTAGTTGGTTGTGATTTCAGATCAAGTGTTGTGTATAAAGCTTTGAAGTTGCTAAAGGCAAGAAATCTTTTTTTGTATTGGATTTTATTGAATTTCTCTTTGAGCCAAGCTCTGCACAGCATGGAAACAGTCCCCTGCACAAAGGAGAGTAATTACACAAAGATGTCCCTTTCAGACCAACATCATGCTCGACTTTTTAGCCAGTGAACCTACCTGACCAACTCTCCCTAATAATGACCATAATGTATAAGGTGAACTTGTTGTTTTTATTCAGTGTGTGATAAGAAACTGGCAATTGAACCCATAAGGCCATCAGAAACATTTTGTGCAACATAAAAATGATTATGAATCATGGCTGCCTCAGAGACATTTTAGATATTGAGACAGCTGAAGCTTAGAGTGGTTTACAACTAGCTGTACTTCCTAATACGAACATGTTGTGTTGTACAACTGAAACTCACCCCCAACCTGTTGCAGCAAATGGCTGAACCTCCCTGAGCCTGATGCTGTTAAAAGGCAGTTTTTCCTTCCCACTGTCACCAAGTGCTTGGTCATAGAGGGCCATCTGAAAGGGTTTTCTCTGTATTATTGTAGGGTGTTTA